GGCATAGTTTTTGTCCGGACTAGAAAAAAGGGCATAGTCTTCGCCTGGGATGTCGAAAGGGCATAGTTTTCGTCCAGGGCCAATTAGGGCACAGTCTTCACCCAGGGCGTCGATATACACGTGGTGGAAAGTGTATAACTAAATATATATATATACGAAAGCTTCGATGGCTTCGTGGGTAGTGTGCTAGCCTCCTAGTCGGAGATACTCGAGGGGTCGTGGGTTTGAATCCCGTCAAAAATTATCAGAATTTTTCTCGGTCTTTTCCGATGGAATGAGTATCTAGTATGCCGAAACACTACTTATACGAATTTTAAAAGAAATAGTGGATTTTTCATGGTGATGTCTGGACCTCCAGGAGCTTCCTTTGCGAAGGAAAGCTAAACACCTGGCCAGCTCATCAGGTAAAGTCACTGTTGGTTATAAAAAGGTCTGTACAGCGAGTTAGATGCTTTATTACAAAAATATCTTTCCATTAAACTTGATAATAGCTGGGGTGTGCTTGAGACAATCGCTGCACCCTGTAAATAGTATCCAAAGGGATGGATGACCGAGTCCTCTGAGGGAAACTTTGCAAAGCGCACGCATGAAAGACTCGCATGCGTGAGGTCATAGGATGGTAGTTATGACGGAAAAAAACTAGGAAAGATATTGGAACATAAGATACGTATAAACCCTGGAATAGGTATGCGTTGGGATCATACTACTACTACCAAACAATATATGTATATACGGTCACTACCACTGTATTGTCGTGCATATATGGCTTTTTTTGTAAAGTGTACTACCCGTACACCTAGCTATAAATACATTTCTGAGCGCGCGGTGGCTTAGTCGGCTAGGTCATGAATTGGCACGCGGGAGACCCTGGTTCGATTCCCGGCCAGTGCGACTTTTCGGGCAAGTATCTCTGTGATTTTTCACATGTGCTTTTTCACTACGCAATGCTCCTCGAGGAGGGCTTAGGCGACCTTCTCGTAGCAACAATGGCCTAATTCCCCCTACCCCCCTCTTGTAATGGGAGGCCTCCCATCCCTTTCCTTGTCCCTTTCCCAAGTGCCAAGTGCCCATAGTAGTGTCCTCATTACAGGAGGCGGACATAGAGCACTATAATATTTAAAAAACAATATATATACATACATATCTAAAACGTATTCATATTGTACCTTCAATACTAGTTTAATAAACATTTAATAATCAAAGAAAAAGGTCAATTATTTTTCTTAAGCATACGATTTCACATTATACTTAATTTTTATAAATCTTTCGTTTAAACATAACGACAAACTGAAAAATTTTCTAGCATAATAAAATGGAGCTTTGCTCAAACTACTTTTCTTCTCACATAAAAATATAGTAAACTTCTCATTGATAACTTTTTGTTCATTATCGTTTAAGTAATAAGAGGCGGATTGATAAAGCGTCCAAACTTTAAATGGACAAAGTGAAAATAATTATAAAACAAACGTAATTTGTGACTCAAAAAATTTGAAAATCTCCTAAAGGAGTGAAGAGGACGATTACTTCGCTGTCGACCTTACCACGTTTCTCAAGCAGTTGAAAATGTTAAATGGAACAGTGGTCACGTAAGTTGAGCTCTACGTTTTGAAATAAACTGTTTTGTGGTTTTTTTAGTGACAAAAGATAAGATAGTATATTGTACCGATCTGAAAAGTTTGTGATTCTTATTTGCAACTTTTAAAAATAATTATCGTGTTTACAGGAAATAATTTTTGTATTTAGTTTTTACTTTTTTATTTTCTTTTATTTAGTGGTTCACTTTTAATTCAAGTTTTTAAATTATTTTTGTACAAGAATATAT